ACGGGACCGAACGGGTGGAAGAAGCGCCCTGAGGTGACTCGCATGCTTCTGACCAGAGGGCTGCTTTCTGCTTCCCTCTCATCTCTCTCATCTTCCCCTGACTTTTCCGGTGTTCTCACAGAGCTTACTCCACTACCAGCTCCACTTTTCTTCCCGATAACTTGGCTGGCTCACAAATCTTACCATTTAATCTTTCTTGCTTATATATATATGTTCACTTATACATTCATAAATATACATTGCTAGTCCTCATGTTGCCTAAGCTCAAGTTTTTTATTTTGGCAAAGAAGGTCTAAAGCCTCATTTCACTTGGATGTTCCATTTCCTTTGCACTGTTCAAAATGATCATATTCTGCCAAATCAGCTTCTTTTCTCAATGTTTCCTTTCAAGATGGAACTAGCTTTTCCCACAACTTACAGGCTGGAAATACTTGTTTTGGTTCTCTCCTAGGTTCAAACTCTTGGACGTACACAAAGATCACAAAATGAGCCTATAGTAGGGACAAAAGGGGAAGATGAGGCAGCCGTCTGAGGAAGCGCGGGTTGCTTGGGCATCTCATCTCTAAGAGTAACGTGTGCAGGAATCGTATTACAGAGACAAAGCAAGACTTATCTAAGATGGTAGGAGGGTGATTACAGAATAAGACAGTAAGATTTTTGTTACTAAACTTGCCACTCTGCCCAACCTGTGGTTAGCTGCAATGCATGTTCTTCAAACATCTATCTCCCTTGAGGACCTCTGTGGCTCTATGGGCTTTCTTTTTTCTTTTATTTTTTTAAGACTTTATTTATTTATTTGACACAGAAGAGAGAGAGCATGAGCAGGGGGAGCTGCAGGAAAAGGGAGAAGGAGGCTCCTCACTAAGTAGGGAGCCCTATGCGGGACTCGATCCCAGGACCCTGAGATCATGACCTGAGCCAAAGGCAGAGGCTTAACCGACTGAGCCTCCCAGGCGTCCCTCTACGGGCTCTCTGCCCACCTTTCTACTCTAAGTAACAGCCAGTGTCCCCTGCCTCCAAGTCACATGCCGCTCTTCAGGTAGCAGTGATCCCTACAGACTGCACCTGTCTTTCTTCTCTACAGCATGAGCACGTACTACCCCCACATTTCTTCCCCCACCCAGCCTGGAGGCCATTGTACCAAACACAGCTCTTGCACAGGTATTTCTCACGACTTCTTTGCGGGCAGCAAAACTGAAGAACAATAAAGTTGGAAGACCTTTCGAAACTCTTTGACTTCAAACCTGGCCAGAAAGTTACAGAAATCAAGACAGTATTGTATTGGTGAGAGAACAGATCGAAAGAACAGAATAAAGAGCACAGAAATAGAACCACAAAAATATAGGCGGCAATCTTCGATAAAAACACAAAGGCAATTCTTTTTTTTTTTAGATTTTATTTTTTTATGTAATCTCTACCCCCACTGTAGGGCTCAAACTCATGACCCAGAGATCAAGATCACATGCTCTCTTGACAGAGCCAGCCAGGCACCCCCCCAAAACAAAGGCAATTCAGTGGAGAAAGAATAGTCTTTTCAACCAGCGGTGCTGGTACAACTAGGTATGCACATGCAAAAAACAAAACAAAAATAAGAAGGAAGGAAGGAGACAGAAAGAAAGAGAAAAAGAAAAAAAGGAATCTAGGCACAGACTTTATAACTAGCACAAAAATTAACTCAAAATGCATCACAGACTTAAATGTAAAACACAAAACTATAAAACTTCTAGAAGATAGCAGAGGGGGAAATCTAGGTGAGCTTGGCTTTGGTGATAACTTTTTAGATACAACACCAAAAGCATGATCTGAGAAAGGAAGAAATTGGTAAGTTGGCTTCATTAAAACTAGTAACTCTCACTCTGCAGAAGTCACTACTAAGAGAATGAAAAGACAAGCTTAGCATGGGAGAAAATATTTACAGAACATGTATCTGACAAAGGACTTGTATCCAAAATATACTTAAAGCTCAACAATCAGAAGACAAACAACCCAACCTACAACCCTAAAAAACCCTACCCAGCAACCCTAAAAAATCAGGATAAGATCTAAACAGACACTTCACCACATAAGATACACAGATGGCAAGTAAGCATATGAAAAAATGCTCGACATCATAGGTCATTTGGGAATTGCAAATTAAAACAGTGAGATACCACCATATATCTATTAGAATGGCTAAAATTCAAAAAACCCCGACAATACCAAACGGTATTAAGGATGTGGAGCAAAAGGAACCTTCATTCACTGTTTGTGGAAATGCAGAATGGTACAGCCACTTTGCAAGAGAGTTGGAAGTTTCTTACAAAGTTAAATACAATGTTACATATGATCCAGCAATTGTATTCCAGATATTTACCCAAATGAGTTGAAAACATAAAGCTCGCACATAAATATTTATAGCAACTTTATTCATAATAAAGTTGCCGAAACCTGGAAGCAACCAAGACGTGTGTCAAAAGGGGAATGGATCAGCAAACTGTTATACGCATAAAATGGAATATTATTCAGTGATTTAAAAAAGCTATCAAGCCACAAAAAGGCAGGGAGGAACCTTAAACGCATACTTCTAAGTGAAAGAAGGCAGTCTGAGAGGCTACATACTGTGTGATTCCAACTACATGACAGCCTGGGAAAAGCAAAGCTACAGAGACAGTAACAGGAACAGTGCTGCCTTGGGCTCAGCTGAGACCGGGAGGAGTGACCCTCAGGGCGGTGACACTGCCTTGATGGATACAGGACATCGTGCATTTGTCAAAATCTACAGAATTGTACAGCACAAAGGGTTGAGCCCTAATGTGAACTATGAGCTTCAGTAGATCATGTATCAACATCAGCATCCATTGTAACAACGTGCCACGCTAATGCAAGGTGTTAATAAGGGAAATCGTACTGGGAAGAGGAGGGGGTATATGGGAACTCTGCACAGTGATCTGCTGTGCAGCCCCCCACTGCCCATAAAGTCGCCTCATCCCATTTCAGCATGGCACGCCTCTCCTCTCCTGCACTGAACACCTAGAGAACAATCCCCAGTACCCCACTGTGGTAGAGAAGCAATCACATCCAGCAGGGAGGAATGGGCCCGAGACCCCAGAATCTAAGTGCTTCTTAAACAACTTTGACTTTCCTTGTTTTAGCAGCCTGCTGCACTCTCATTCCCACACGTAGCTGCTATTGTCTTAGGGGATCCCATTGTATGAACTGAGTTTTGTCACCCACAGAGTTTGCAAAATCAATTAGCCTTAGTCAATACACTTTCCTGCTTCTAAAACTGTAAATTGCCCTTCCATTTTTCCTTGCCATTGTGAGTTTGTGCATTTAAAAAAATCTGTTTTAGTCTTGCCTGGGAGGGAATTAAATTAGTTGCTCTAGTTATCGTTATCTTTACTTGTATGTTCACATCTCTGGTAATAAATAGTACAAAGTGCATTTTAATACTTTACAGGAACGATACCACCTTGGGTATAGCGCTTACTTAAAATAAATAAACTTTAAGGATTGGGAAAACAAACTCAAATTGCACTAAATACAATACAGTTTAGTCAAAAGGAATAATTCTCACAAGACCACAAGCATTCTGTAATAACAAAACATTATCGTGAAGGCAGTTACATTCATTTTTCATCAAACAAGCTGACCAAAACCTGGAATCCAGTCTGATCCCTGTTTGTCTCTTTAAGTCATTAATATGAACAATTTCCTTTCCTCTTGAAGAGTCCTGTTAGAGCAAGAGGACCCCACCCGAGGGGAATGCAGACCTGCAAGGGGGGCCTTAAGCTCCCTTCAGATCCCCTATCAGAGCAAAGTGCACAGCTGCTGGGCATTCTGGTGGTTGCTCCATGAACAGAGCTGCTCGGCATGAGGATCAGGGAGCTCTTCTGCTTTCAGCAGGCACGGGATGTCCCACCCAGCCTCATTCCATAGTAATGCCGACACACTCGGCAAACGTGTGATCGCCCCCACCGCGGGCAGCAAGGACGTCACAGTCACCTGGTGTCCCGTGATCAGACATTCAGTGCCCAGGAGAAGGGGCCCCGAAAGAGAGTATCTACAGAAAATATACAGGAATTGTAACTGAATTCTCCCATATGACATGCTCCTATGTGAGAATTTTAAAAGTAGACAATGAAAGGAAAACACTGAACTGTGATCCCTCATTGAAATTTTAAGGATTACAAAAAAGCTTAGAAAATCTACCCCTTCCCCACACAATTATTATTATCTGTGCTTCCAAATGTTACCCAGGAAAATCACTTCTCTGATAAAGCCTGGCTTAAAAAAAAAAAAAAAAAAATTGGGCGCCTGGGTGGCTCAGTTGGTTAAGCGACGGCCTTCGGCTCAGGCCATGATCCTGGAGTCCCCGGATCAGCTCGGGTTCTGCTTCTCCCTCTGACCCTCCCCCCTCTCGTGCTCTTGCTCTCATTCTCTCTCAAAATAAATAAAATCTTTAAAAAAAAAACCACCTAAAATTAAAATAAAAAGGGAACTCTAAACTTTGCAATCTCTGAATTCGGGCATAATATAAACCATGGGATACGAATTTCTGAAATCTTTCTCCTGCCAGTGTTGCATCTACAATGGCTGATCGGGTGGTCGTTACTTTCTTGCATTTTCTGTATAACATCATTCATGATCGACACCAAAGTCAAAATTCATGCAGATCACTTAGTTTGCTGACAGTACTTAAAGATGTTAGAACATGTAATGGGAAAAGGATCCCTATTATAACAATAAATTCAAAAAACAAAAACTTAAGAAATGTGGAGGGTCTCTATTGGGAATTTTTTTTAAAAACCGCTGCCTTATAAGAAGGAAGCCTTTGGGCGCCTGGGTGGCTCAGTTGGTTAAGCGACTGCCTTCGGCTCCGGTCATGATCCTGGAGTCTCGGGATCGAGTCCCGCATCGGGCTCCCTGCTCAGCAGGGAGTCTGCTTCTCCCTCTGACCCTCCCCCCCTCTCATGTGCTCTCTCTCTCTCATTCTCTCTCTCAAATAAATAAATAAAATCTTAAAAAAAAAAAAAGGAAGCCTTTAATAAATAGAAATATATGCCTTGCTCTTAATCTAGCAATTCAATGTAATCCAAATATAAACACAGAAAAATAGTGGAGGGAATGAAGGAGGGAGATAATAGAATGATATTAATGTTCATCTGGAAAAACAAACACATACTAATCAGAAAAGCACTGTTAGAGAGCAGTGATGAGGACGAGACTTACAAGATACTAAAAATATAGCTTATAAAATAAGATGAAAAAGAGGGAGGCAAACCACAGGAGGCTCTTAACTCTAGGAAACAAACTGAGGGTTGCTGGAGGGGAGGTCGGTGGGGGGATGGGGTAACTGGGTGATGTAATGAGCACTGGGTCTTATACTCAACTGATGAATCACTGAATTCTACCCCTGAAACTAATAATAATACACTTTATATTAGGTAACTTGAAGCTAAATAAAAAAAATAAAAATTTAAAGAATTTTAAAAAATGTATTTTAAAGCTACGATGATCACAACACATTAGTCCTGGAGAGGAAATGGACCAACAGGAGGAAGTGGAGTCCACCTGCCCCCACTCCTCGCTGCCGGCCTAGAATCACCGCGCCCTGTGGCCTGGCTGGCTAGGGTCATCCAGGGTCGACTTGTTACAGTTACAGTTTGGTCTGCCCGACTTGTATTAGCCGCCTGGCCTCCTGCCTCCTGGTGGGGTCCTTGAAGTCACCACGATCTCACTGATCTAACTTCATCAGTCCAGGACTGTATAGACTTTCCTGTGATTAGGAAAATTCAGTTACAATTACTTTATATCTTCTATAGATAAAGCTTATCTTTCCTTGCAATATGTATTTACAAGTGAGATAAAATCATTCGGGGGACGCCTGGGGGGCTCAGCCGGTGAGGCGTCTGCCTTCCGCTCAGGTCATGATCCAGGACCAAGCCCCACTGGGTCTCCCTGCTCAGCGGGGGGCCTGCTTCTCCCTCTCCCTCTGCCGCTCCCCCTGCTTGTGCTCTCTCGCTCTCTCTGTCTCTCTGTCAAATAAATAAATAAAATCTTTAAAAAAAAGATAAAATCATTCAGACTGACTTTTTAAAGCTGAAGAGCCAAATATGTCACTATATTTATGCGAACCCTTAATGAATATTTAGGGTAATGTTTTCTTGATAAAAAGCAAATACTAAAGGCAATGCAAAATAACACAACTAGTTTGGAAATCAGTTTGGCAGTTTTCTTGTAACGTTAAAGTACACTTACCACCCAACTCAGCAATACCGCCCCTAAGTATACTTACCCAAGAAAAGTGAAAGCATATTTTCAGACAAAGACTAGACCCAACCCAAATGTCTATTAACTGGCAAGTGAATTTGCTATACCCACACACTGAAATTCTACCCGTCAATAAGAGGAAGAATTACACATGCAACAACACAGCAGTACACAGCAGGACCTCCAAAGCATCGTTGTCAATAAAAAAAAAGTGATTCTATGAAATTCTAGATAAGTAAACTAAAGTGACCTATAGTGAGAGAAAGCAAACTGATGTTTGCCAGTGGTCTGAAAATGGACGGACTGACTTAGAGGAGCATGAAGGGACATTTCTAGGCTATGAAAACACTGTGTGGATAGTTCTATGGCCGTTGATTTGTCAAAGCTCATTAAACTGTACTCTTAAAATTGCTGAGTTTTATCGTATATCTCAGTCGAGCCGATTAGAACAACAGCACCAGGAACAGGCCACCACCTATGCCGGCAATTTCTCTGGGCAGCACGTCCTAGCTGGGGTTTGCGTGGCTTCTGGTTGCACCAAATGTGAGTCTCGTCCCTGCACACATTCTAGGAGTTACCAGAACACCCTGTTCGGAAAGCTGACCTTGAGCCGAGTGACAGGAAATGGCACCACAGCGAGAGGTTCGTTTCCATGCTGAAAAGGTCACTTTCTGTATTCATTTTAGTAGCTGGGTATTTGTTCAAGCAATGTTCCGCTATTTGCTTCTCTTCCTCAGGGCTTCAATTAGTGAAGAACGTCGGACGTAAGAGAAAAAGCCCTGAAAAATCCTAACAGGACAAAAACAAAATCTGAAGCTAGTAGCTCTGTTTGTTTGGAGAAAACTGAGAGTTGCCCACTCTGCAACTGCTGGGTAGATCCCCCCGCCCCGCAGAGCAGAGATCTAAACCCCTCCCCGAGGACAGCTCCCATTCTCTCCCACCTGTTCTCCTGGCTCATCCCGCACAGCCAGCGCCTGCTCCCCGCTCTCCGGGGGCCGCTCCCGCACCCGGGCCTGCAGCTCCTCGGGCAGGAGGGTCAGGAACTGCTCCCCCACCAGCAGCTCCACGATCTGCTCCTTGCTGTGCGTCTCGGGCCGCCGCCAGCGTCGGCAGAGCTCCCCGAGCCCGGTGCGACTCTGAGCCTCGAGGGGTCCAGGTGTCTCTGGAGAGCAAAACTGAAGCACCTGCAAAAGATCTCCCTGGTACGCGCTTTCTCCCTTCGAAAGCTGGAGTCTCCTTTCCAAGTATGTTCATCTTGCTCCACCTTCAGGGTCACCAGCCCCACCGCGTCCTCTGGAACTTGGAGGGTCCAAGGTCCAGCTTCGCTTGCTTCGTGGTCTGCTGGACTGAAATAACCCGACAGAGCGTATTACACGCTCTCCGTTGAGAGATTCCCCTCGAGGTTCTTCAGGGTGGCAAAGAAGTAGGAAACCCCACGAAGAGCAGGACAACCTAGATGCCAGACACGTTCTGACTCACGAAACAGTAAGGGAATACTATTAGGGGGAAAAATGCTAAAATTATTTACACGCCACCGAAAGACAATTTCCACAGTTGTCCATAAGCAAAGAAAACTTAAGAGACAAGAGATCACCAACTCGAATTCCCAGGTAATGAAAGATCCTCGCTTTTCCTGCTTCCCAGCGAACGGGCGGCCCCTTCCTCTGTGACTGACAACACGCAGTTAGGGGCTCACCTCCTGCTGCGCGCTGACCAGGCAACGTTACTAATCGTTTACACGTCCGTCTCCACCCATGGAGCCAGGTCCCCGTCTATACGTCACAGTTACACTGATTAGTCCCTCAGGGTTTCTGAAGCGCGGCTGATACCCAGCAAGGCCCCGGGCTCGCCAGGCAATGGAAATGGACAGGAGGCCTCGTGGGGGCCCCAGAAAGGCTTCACGGGGACTTCTGCTCCGCGCAACGAGGCCGCCGGAAGGAAGGAATTCTCGGGCTGGCTCCCCGAGCGGCGGTCACGGAGGGTTTTTTACGGAAACGTAGGTGGGGAAAGGGTTTAGTACAAGCAGGTGGAGGCGGGGGTGTATCCGCACCTGCGCGCGTAAAGATCGCGCTCCTTCCCGCGTGGCAGGTCCACTTAACACGTTAAATCTGCACCCCAGGGGTGACTTCTAACGTCCCCAGGAGGGCGGAGTCCGCCGAAGGTCAGCGCTGGGGTCCGTCCCGGTGCAGACTGGTTTGGTCCGGTGCTCGCCAGCTCAGGGGCCCGCACCCTCCCCCCGCATCCCTGCAGGGCACGCGACTCGGGACGCACAGAGGTTTGTTTCGTGCTAACGGAGACAGCTGCGCAAGGCTGGGTTTTGCGCTCGGGGTCGAGAGGACCCGAGTCCAGTCCCTGCTCCCTTCCACCAACGTCCTCTTCATGTCACAACCAGTCAGGATGAACGGCTAAAAACACAAATACTCTGTAATTCCGAGTAACTCCAGGGCTCCGAAAAGGAAATCACAGGAAGGTCCCGAGTTCAAACGTCTTCCTGCGATTCTTCGCGCCCCGCGCAGCGCGCGTGGCCCCGCGGGAGCTCCCGCGGCCAGCCTGGAGGAGGCGGCGTGCGCGGGGCCGCGGGGAGGCCGCGCTCCGAGCCGAAGGGCGCGCCTGAGGGGCCCAATCAGGCTGGGGCGCCCCCGCCAGCCCCCCCCCCCGCAGGCTCGCTCACCCCTCTCTCCGCCCCCTCCGGGCACTCCCCTGCGGGCTCGCTCTCCCCTCCCTCCGCCCCTCCGCAGGCTCGCTTTCCCCTCCCTCCGCCCCCCTCCGGCCCCCACCCCTGCAGGTTCGCCGCTCCGCCCCCCCCGCAGACTCGCTCTCCCCTCTCTCCGCCCCCTCCGGCCCCCACCCCTGCAGGTTCGCCGCTCCACCCCCCCCGCAGGCTCGCTCTCCCCTCCCTCCGCCCCCCACCCCTGCAGCTTCGCCGCGCCGCCCCCCCGCAGACTCGCTCTCCCCTCTCTCCGCCCCCTCCGGGTACCCCCCCTTGCGGGCTCGCTCTCCCCTCTCTCCGCCCCCTCCGGGTACCCCCCCTTGCGGGCTCGCTCTCCCCTCCCTCCGCCCCTCCGCAGGCTCGCTTTCCCCTCCCTCCGCCACCTCCGGCCCCCACCCCTGCAGGTTCGCCGCTCCGCCCCCCCCGCAGACTCGCTCTCCCCTCTCCGCCCCCTCCGGCCCCCACCCCTGCAGGTTCGCCGCTCCACCCCCCCCCGCAGGCTCGCTCTCCCCTCCCTCCGCCCCCCACCCCTGCAGCTTCGCCGCGCCGCCCCCCCGCAGACTCGCTCTCCCCTCTCTCCGCCCCCTCCGGGTACCCCCCCCTGCGGGCTCGCTCTCCCCTCTCTCCGCCCCCCACCCCTGCAGGTTCGCCGCTCCGCGCCCCCGCAGGCTCGCTCTCCCCTCCCTCCGCCCCCCACCCCTGCAGGTTCACCGCCCCCCCCACCCCCGCAGGCTCGCTCTCCCCTCCCTCCGCCCCCTCCGGCCCCCACCCCTGCAGGTTCACTGCCCCCTCTGAGGGCTGGGCAGGCCTCCCCCGGAAGCCGGGGCCGCGCGCGCCGCGGGAGCGGAAGTAAAGGTGGGCTCCCACGGACCTTGAAGAGGCGGGTCCTAGAGCAGCCGGCGGGGGAAACCAAGGTCTCTCTGGAGGGCTCTCTAGGACGCGGGCGGTCTCGCGCTCTCGGTGGTGCCCCAGTCTCCGTGGGCCAGCCCCAGAGGGCTTCCAGGCTGTCCAGCTGGAACACTGTGCCCGTCCTTCCAGAGTTAAGTTCGCTTCTCCCACCAACACTACCCATAGCACCTGCAGACCCCTTTCTTTGTGCTGGGAAGAGGTGTGCACGTTGCACACATTAGCTCATTTGATCCTGGAAATAAGGCACGAGGTTAAACGGTTTACTGATAGTCAAAGAACTTTAAACTCTGTGGTGGCCTTTTGCCACAGATCTTCACGATTTTACTGAGCTGCAGGGCTTTCGCCCCACCCCTATGATACCCAAATTCCATGGTGTGACACCTTTGAAAAGCCATCACTTGATTGTCTAACTCCCTATTCCACAACCTCTCTAGACTCACCTGGGCTCTAAAATCTGAACAAATGTTAATTGCTTCCCCTAACTGTAAGTAGATGAAGCAATGGATGAGACTCCCAGAAAAGGCTTTTGTAGAATTTTGAAACTTGTAAGAGAGGAAAAAAGAATTTCCCCCCTGCCCTTCTAAGTTCTTGGCTGGGGTCCCGGTAACAAAAGAGATGAATGAGAGAAAAACACAAGCAAGTTTATTAACGTATATATCTCATGTACACATGGCAGAGACCCAGGGAAAAAATGAGGGACTCTCCAAGGTGGCTTAGAATTCAGGCTTGAATACCATCTTCAGCTAAAGACAAAACAAAGAGGGTGTCAGGGAGGTCAGTTACGGGAGCTGACCAGGAAAAGTATAAACAGGAGTGAGCTCTGTTAGTACCTTCTTGTTTCTTGTGATTTGGGGTCATCCTTCTCTTCCTCAGACAGGGAGACACCATTACAAAAGGGTAACTTGTACTCTGTTTTTAGAGCTTCTCCTGAGTCTGCTGTTCCTCAAAATAATCCTTATGCCAAAAAAAAAAAAAAAAAAAAAGCCTATTTTGCTGCCCTTGAAACTCATGTCTTATTCTGATCCCTTTTCTTATTATAATCTCTTGATTTGTGACCAGATTTTGAAAGGAGGGAATAATAATCTTATACCCTTTCCCTTCATAACATGTAAGGACATCTTCCAACTTCCTTGAGATGTCCAGATCAACTCCCCTCTCTAACAGGTTTCTCCAGGTCAGGACTACATATATACTTTACTTCTAATTTCACTCTTTCTTTCAACTGATACAGGCTGTAGACACAGATGACCTCACCCAGCCCCAGAATGAAGACTGAGCTCCTCAGTATTACAAAGTCAAGATTACAAAATCAAGAGTTTGTAGGGGCACCTGGCTGGCTCAGTTAGTAGAGCATGGGACTCTCGATCTTATCAGTTTGAGCCCCATGTTGGGTGTACAGATTACTTAAAAATAAAACCTTCAAAAAAAAAAAAAAGGCTATTGGTTGACTAGAGAATTACTGCAAATTGGAGGGTGCTTGCCAGGATGTGGTGAGATAAATGCCTATTCTCCACTTTTTAACAAATTCAGATCTAAAATCCAATTCCATAGGAGTGTACTAGTGAAATAAGGAAGATGTTTCGGTTTTGAAGGTTGTGATCACATCCACCTCCACTGTGACTTCTGTCAGGAAAAATTTTCAAGGAGTTTGAAATAGATAGCACAAAGTTTCTAAGGTACCTTGAGTAGGACGACTGTCTTAGTTAGTGTGGCTGCCGCAGCAAAATGCCGCAAACCAGGTGGCTTAACTACAGAAGTTTATACCTTAGAGTGCCAGAAGGTGTAAAGTCCCAGATCAGGGTGGTCCACGAGGTCGGGTTCTCGTGAGGGCCCTTCTCTGTTTCAAAGGGTGTCTTCTTGCTGTGTTCTCACAGGGCTCAAGAGCACAGGGAGGAAGCAAGGTCCCTCAGGATTTTTTACAATGACCCTAATCCTATTTTGGAGGGCTCTACCCTCATGACATCTAAACCCTACATACCCTCCACAGATCCCATCTCCTAATACCATGACATTAGGGGGTAGGGTTTCAACATGAATTCTGGAGGGACACATTCAGTCCATAACAGCGATTTTCATTGGTTTTAAGCGATCTCACAACTCTGAGTTGTAGGAAACTGGTAACAGTGCAAATAATTTTCATCCACAGAAATGCAAATGAAATTGTGTCCAGTGGAATGTGAATGATCATTGTCCTGGAAATTGACAGTTAAAAACAAATCTACTTGTAAATTTGCTTCAGCATTCCAGATTGTCTATAAATATGTAGTACTTCGAATTTTTTTTTGTTATTTTTTAACATTTGTTTCTTTAAATTCAATTAATTAATATATAATGTATTATTGGTTTCAGAGGTACAGGCCGGTGATTCATCCTGAGTTTTCTTTTGAGCCAGTTGTAACATCTTACTGGTTGTTACATTATCCGACACATACTCATTTTCATTTGTATGAGAGTCGTCAATTTACTTTTTTTTTTTTAACAGTCTTTTAACCATTTGAAAACTAGGGGTACACACCAGTGGCAGAAACAAAATACGACCTTGTGGCTGGCAAATGCAGATGGCAGAACACGGTTTGGGTCTGAAACTAAAACGGGCCACCGCTACCCCTTCGCCCCACGTCTATACCGGGAACCCAGCGGACACGCTGGCCCCGCGGCTCTGGGAAGGCTCACGAGCTCTGTTAAACAGCAGCGCAAAAGCCAGAGACCACGGGAGCACAGCTGAGCATCAGGGTCGCCCAAAAATGCGGGTCAAGGAAGGAGAACTGTTACTCTTCCTCACATTTTTCTCCCAAGGGGGAGGACCAAGGAAAGGGTGAAGCAAGTTAAGTCTCTTCCCGGTAATTCCAAGAGGCATTAGCGCGTAAAACAGAAAGGGGAAGTGCCTCTTAAGCTGTGGTTTTGTAAAAATTCTGTAGTCACGTTTTCTGGCTCTTGTTTTAAAACCGAAAAAGCCAATGTGCGAGCCAGACCTGAAAAGCTGGGAGCATCCTCCTTTTTTCCTTCTAGAATCTTCCGGGGAACCGCCTCCTCTCCCTCCCACTACGGGCCTTTCTCGAACTCAGCCGGGTCTCCCGAAGCCCCTGCCCGCTCGGCTCGCAGCGGCGACGGGAGGACCGGGGCCCCACGCGCAGCAGGTCGGCTCTGCGTCGCCCGCGCGCGCTGAGCGGCCGCGGAGACGCCGTCCGCCCGCCTCCCCGCGGTCGGGCCGTCGGGCGGCGCGCACACCCGTCGGCCCCCGCGTCTGGGGTCACACCGGGGCCCTCGTCCCGACAGCGCCCCCGGGGAGCCCGTCGGGGACCAGGCCGCCTCCCCCGCCCGCGGCGTCCCTCGCGTTGCGCGCACTCGCAGGGACTCGGCGGCGAGCGCGCTCCCGCGCCGTCGGGGCCGGGCCCCGGGGCGGGCACAGCGGACTAACAGGGGGCCGCGCAGGAGGGCCGGGCGGCCGGTCCCGCTCCGTCAGGACGGGGCGCGGGCGGACCAGGAGGCACGGCACGGACGAAACGCTCGGCAGCGGCGCCGCGGCCTGAAAACGCGGGGCAGCACGGACGGCCCGCGCGGGCCTCCCTCCGGGCGCGGCGGCGGCACCTGCCGCAGGACTCTGCGGGGCGGGACGCGGGCCGGGCCGAGCCGGCCGCCCGAGGCCGCGGGCAGGGACCCGCCACCTCTCCGCCCCGCCCCGCCTCGGCGCCGCCTTCGCGGCGAGCCCCAAGTCTCGCGCTTCCCAGACGTCTCGCGATGCCATCCGCCCGTCGTCTCGGCTCCCGTTTGAGTCTGCGCCAGATCGCTCGGCTCTCAGAATGTATCGCGATATTTTCGCTTTTGAGCTTGTCGGTGTTTTAACAGCCCCTGTAAGAAAATTTTAAGTCCGTTTTTAATAGTGTAGGTTGGTAAGGCCTCTCATCGTGCTGCTCCGATCGTCCAGTAGTGTAGGCAATTAGGGGGAGGAGCAAAAACGATGTGTCAGAAGTGGGATTCGAACCCACGCCTCCATTCGGAGACCAGAAGCCCCAGCGCGGGGAAGCGAAGCTTGAGTCTGGCGCCTTAGACCACTCGGCCATCCTGACACCCTGCGGAAGGCGGAGATTTTCCGCTGAAGTAGATGTGGAGGAGTGGCGCGTCCGTGACGTGCGCGCCGGCCGGAGCGCTGACGACGGAGGCGCCGCCGGAGGAGGACAGAGCCCCTGCGGATCGGACAGGAACCCCGGCGGAGCGCCAGTGCTGGGGCGCCAACGCGGACACGGCTTCCCGCGGCCGCAGAGCGGCGGGCGCGCCTCGAGGACCGAGCGCCGGCTTCCCCCGCCCTCCGCTCGGCTCCCGGCCTCTTGCCCTCACCCGCGTCCCGGCGCGCCAGTGGCTTTCTTTTGACGAGAGAGGAACGACAGCACACGGAACAGAAGCCCCCAATTCCGTGGCACGGCCCCCGCCTCCCCACGGGTGCCCCGCACTGGTCGGGGAGTTTGTTGGGCTCGGAAGGCGCCTGCGCCCGGGCTCACATCTGCAGGAGCAGGGGCAGGGGCGGGGCAGGGCAGGGGCAGCGGCAGGGGCAGCGGCAGGGGCAGGGCCGGGGCAGGGGCAGCGGCAGCGGCAGGGGCGCGGCAGGGGCAGGGCCGGGGCAGGGGCAGCGGCAGGGGCAGGGCCGGGGCAGGGGCAGCGGCAGGGGCAGGGCCGGGGCAGGGGCAGCGGCAGCGGCAGGGGCGCGGCAGGGGCAGCGGCAGCGGCAGGGGCGCGGCAGGGGCAGCGGCAGCGGCAGGGGCGCGGCAGGGGCAGGGCCGGGGCAGGGGCAGCGGCAGCGGCAGGGGCAGCGGCAGGGGCAGCGGCAGCGGCAGGGGCAGCGGCAGGGGCAGCGGCAGCGGCAGGGGCAGCGGCAGGGGCAGCGGCAGCGGCAGGGGCAGCGGCAGGGGCAGCGGCAGCGGCAGGGGCAGCGGCAGGGGCAGGGCAGGGGCAGGTGCAGGGCAGGGGCCCTACTCCCGGTCCCGGGGCCGCTCTCGGGCGCTCGGAGCCGAGCCCTACGCGTCCGCTGTCAGGTCGGGGACACCGGCGGCCCCGCGCCACACCTCCCGACGCAGCGGGACGGAGAGCCCCTGGGGGTCTGGGAAACTCCGCCGAAGAAACCCCCGCAGGCCTGCTGCCGGCCCAGGACACCGCCCGCGTGCAAGGCGGGGGCTCGATGGATGGATCCGACCACTTGTTTCGGCCGCTCTGCGTTGGGCTAAGCTCAGAGAGACGGATTTGAGACTTTTAAGTACATTTTGTCCCAACGGGTTATTTTTTGTATTGACACAAAAACTGTAAGGCAAAGGTTAGGTCTCTTTTCTTCATGAAAAGAGAAATAATTTGAGTTTTGGTAGCCCTATCTTAGATTTCCAGACTCCCCTGGGTGTGAAACTCCCTTTTTGATAGTGAAGGAGAAAATGGCTTGGTACTAACTCTACGATATTCCTTATTCACCTACATTACAAATCTAAGACCACGTGATAAGCATGACCGGAGAGGTTTCATTTTTATAAACAAAAATAGCCATAAAACACAAAGCTGCTGTTCCATGCGATCTTACTGCAATCAGTATATCATTCCTGTGGCATTTTCTGTCACATTATATTGTGAATAAAATTTTTCTATAGAAATTAAATGATTTAAAAATTCACATATAAGAAACATTTAATGCTTTTCAGCCTACTTTGTGGCTGATTTTGTTACTTGATGTGCTAATTTGGGCAATTTAATTTACATTTTACCAATCTGTGTAGATAACTAAAAGCCCAGTTACGTATTTTATAATTTTAGGCTACTTACGCCATGCTTGGGATGTTGTTTGAAAGAAAGAAAAATATACTTCACATATTTCGGCACCTTCACCTTTACTCCTAAATAAACCTGCGGATGATCTGATGAGGGGTAAACGGACATATTTCATGTACACACATACCAAAGACATACTTGTGGCTGAAGTGAGTTGATAATGTTGTGCAAAGGATAGTTGTCACCAACTCATTTCTTTATGGTCCTTAATGAAATAAACATCTTGTATACTGTTAATTCTGTAAGCAGATGCATGTTCAAAATCTCCATCATGATCTTGTAATCTTAATATATTTTAGATATTTTAATTTTTTCCCTCTTGGGGAATACATTCAGTATAGTGTAGAAAGGACTTAATGACATTTTCCTACATAAACATGAAATTTATTGTAGAAAATTCTTTAAACCAAACATTTTAATCTAGGACTTCAGTTTAATCTGTTCCTTGAATCTATTTTTATGTAGCCCTTAAAAACATATCCAAAAACCCATTGCTAATATAGCGATAAAAATACTTTGGGCATTGGAGTTTTATATATAAAATTGCAAACTTAAATTCATATTCTTTTCTGTGATATGTTGTACTAAAATCAAAATGCTTTTGCACCATTTTTTACAACAGTATTTTCTTTTGATGTTGGTACCAGATTTACTGTAAATGCTGCTTTGGGAGTTAAACATTTTGTTAGTGAAGATACAACCAGAACACTAAATTATGGGTAAAAAATTCAGACTAGGTGGCATACGTAAATATTTTGAGGCTTCATTCAGAATTTGTTAATTATCACACGATGCCATTTTTTTCTGGAAAGGAAGAAACATGGTGTGTTTTTCATTGTTAGGTTATATTTTTCTGTAGGAAAGAGGAAATTTTTTGGTCCATGTTGTAAGGCTCATTCATACTTCAATTTTAAGGTTGTTTTATGTGTATTTATAGCAAATAGATGACTTTGAGATTCAAGGCTCCTAAGAGTTTGATTTGCTCATTTTTCCCTAGAATAAATACTGTCTTTCAAAAAGAAGAGAGGAAGGAAGGAAGAAAAAAAAAGAAAATGGCAGTGAGGAGGACAGGAAACAATGGTTTCCTAATGTCCCTCCCTCAAAGATGTGAGATTTGCTGTACTTTCTTCCATAAGCTATAGTTCTGTGGGAAGGAAGTTACCCCAGAAGTGATTCTAGAGGTGGCAGTTGTAACCTCTTAAAAATGTGTAATTACTATTGCTTTTCTAGTTGCAAACTACTGCAGATCCCCCGTATCAAACCAGTACAGTTGAAGACCACATTATTTCTAATTTCTCTCTTGTCAGCAACACTCCAAAGAACATTCTTATGCAGATAATTATTTCCTTAAAAATTTCTAGAAGTAGAATCCCTAAAGTTTATCCAGTTTTAAAAGCTTTTGATACATCGTGTCCAACTGCCTACCAGAAAATCTGAAGCAATCTAGATATCGCAAACCTGACCAACAAAGGATACGATTAAACAACAAAACATTTTAATGGGTGAAAGTTGGCAAGGCATTGTCCCATAGCTTTATTAGTGAGGTTCAACACTCGTGTTTGCGGTTAATTGCTTATTAAATTTTTATTGAGGTGTTCATCTTTCCTTATTCATTTGTGAAACTCATTATATGAAAGATAAACCCTTGTGATAGTTTCTATTTACCAAAAACCCAGGCAGAAATTCCTTTTGCTCTATCTTTTAACCTCATTGTCCCTTATTTACTCAATTTTCATCTCATAGAAACTATAAGCTATAAAATTAACAAGGTTCCCTTAACAATCTTTAAAAACCAAGATGTGGATCATATTTGTTTCTCGTTATCATGCTATACATTTACTTGTATTCCTGGTCACTTCTGTCCCATCCTTATTTCTCTTTCTTCTTTTATGGCATGTCAAACTCTTGCTCCTTTCTGGAATAAGGTGAGGTATAATTAAATATGTAAATATTTGTACTATTTACTAGCATTTATTGTGCAATAGGAGTCCCCATCCTACGTTTTTATGAAAACATCTTCCACAAGAGGGACTTTGAAGGACCTGAAAATTTTAAAGGGTAGAGGGAACTAAAAAGAAAACAAGCTGACAGTGGTGGTCTATACCAATTTAAAAAAAAGAATTTAATTCCCAACCTTGAAATGAATGTGTTATGTGAAGCTCATAAACACATCTGATTCTCTGATTATCATGTCCAAGATTGGCTTTAGAGTAACAGGAATAGGGGTGGAAATTCAGAGGAGGCTATTTTGGAAATGGAATTGGCCATAAATTGATTGTTGAAGCTAGGGGATGCTACAGGGAGTTCACGGAGTATTTTCCTCATTTTTGTGTATGCTTAAAGGTTTCCATAGTGAAGAGTTCAATACAGGGGGAAAAAATCATAATCTCATCAAAAGCATCTGTTAATACTTTGGCATATTTCTTTCCAGTTTAAAAAAGAAAACCACCGTGTCGGTTGAGAAATGTGAAATCTCCACACCAAAATAAATTATTTCCTCTTTTTCTATTACATCCTTGTGCCTCATCACAAACCCCAAACTGGATTTGACAGTTGTATCCCGCACTATTATCCAGACAAATCCTGTGCGTTCTGAATGAGGAATCGGGGGGGAGGAATGTACCTGTTACCTTCAAATGCCCTGGTTACATTTCAATCTTCAAATGTGAAACTAAGCCACCAAATAAGCCAAATCTGCGATATTTATGCTTTCTCTCCAATAGGGAAAAGGGAAATGTAATGGCCAGTATGGTCATACTCAAGTACTCTCTGGAGTTTTAAACCCAAGCTATTTGATTAACACCCTAGCAAAGCCAGTCCCCCGTAATCTACCCTGGCGTGGCCGGGCTTTCTCACGATCCCTGAGACCTCACGCAGGGGGAGTTCCTGGGTTAAAGGAGGTGCACGGGTTTCGTGATTTAGTTACATCATCAAGCAAAACTTTTCTTGCCGGCCTGAGCTAGTGAGTACGAGCCTCTCAGCCTAGGAAGTGAAGCCGTGGATTTCAGCTCCTCAGACCACACTGCTCTGCAGCACACATTTCACCTGCCCACAAATCAGCTTTTGTTGCTACTTCTGTTTCAGTTTATTTTTTCTCCTAACTGACTTTTTTAACTTCTCCAAGAACAGAAGCCATGTTCTCTTGTATCCTCCTGGGGAGTCAAGTTCAGCTGGGGTCCCCAACACTGGGTGATTGTGTCATTTGAAACAAAGAATCAGTCCTTCATTTGTGAAGAGGCAACATGCCCACGGTTAGTACGCTAGGAAAGAACCTTCAAAGTGTTTTTGTTTTGCTGGGAGGAGATGTGTGATTTCCGTGCACTCTCTTTGGTTGGGATCGCAGATAACGGAAGGCATTGACAAACGGCACGTCTACGGTGGTGACAGCGACTGGCTTTCAATCTCACACCTGTGTTAGGCGGTATCCCCAGGATGGCTCATCTTCTCAAATGCACATCCTGGATGGGCAGGATCCACGTTCAGTTTCCTTGTATTCTCTGCACGGGCCTCTTCCAGACCTGTCTGCTCTTGGGGGAGAGGCTCTTCTCTGCCTGCCAGGTCAGTGTCCCCAAAACAGGAGCAGCTGAAGATGGACAGCAAAGGTCTAACGAATGAGTTGTTCAAGTCCTAATGTGTAGTTAACCTCCGACGTTCTGAGGGAAGAACCAGACAGGAGCCAAAAGGATGGTAACTGGCCCCCCGTTTGCCTTGAGGGGCCCAAATCCTGATTCAGCAAATTCAGATGTTGCTTACCTTTCAGCAGATGAGTAAATTTAGAATCATTTACAAGTTCATTGAACCTCATCCAAAATGGCAGGTTTTTTTTAAATTAAAAATTTAAATAATGTCTAAATACCTATGAACCCACCACAAGAACCAGAAGATAACCAGTAACATATGAACCTGTCCCTCCAGGTCTTTGCCATC